GGCATGTGCCACCACTGCCTCGGCCGAGAGTGCAGAAGTTTTAAGCTTAACTGTGCTGTCCTTTTTGAAGTATTGTGAGGATTAATCCAGAAAAGTTAACATTAAAAGGTAAGATTTTGAAGATACATTCAAAAATATCTTGACACCAGCTGTCAGAAGGCCTGAACAGCTGCTAAGTTTATTGTGCTTATTAAAGCATGTCCGCACTAGTGGCTCAGGTTCTGAGTGAGGTCCTCCATGTTCAATACCCTAAAATAAGACCCCGCTGATAACCACTGACTCAGCACTCCTGTGCTTTGTTATTGTTGTTTCTTGAATAAGTCGTTAAAACAAATAGTATTTATCCAGCCTCTGCTTTTCAGAGGGGAAAGTTAGTGTCTTAGTTTCTCAGTCTGTGTTGGTGAAGAGCTAGTTATTGTTTTCAAGTTCACAAGGCATTGCTTTTGTGAAGGTGCAGGTGTCTTGTGAACAGACCTATGTTGTGTTTAAATGCTTGCTCTACAGTTCACCATGGCTGTAAAGACAGGTTAGCAGAAGCATGAATGAAAAAAGGAGGGAGAAAGGTGAGAGAATCTGAGAACACATCTTCGCTGTATCAAACTTTCTTTACTTAGTCTCTCATTCAGTGGACACAAAGGGCTTTGTGCTTATTGGGTGCTTTTTAAAAATAATATTTTTTATTATTTTTATGTAGGGGTGTGTGTGTGGGGTGTATGTGTGAGTGTGTGAGTGTGTGTGTGTGAGTGAGTGTTGTGGAGTGTGTGAGAGACGGAGTGTATGTGTGTGTGTGTTTGTCTGTGTAGAATGTGTATTTGAGTGAGTGTGTATGTGAGTGAAAGTGTGTGTGTGAAAGAGTGTGCAGTGTGTATGAATGTGTATGTGTATGGAGTGTCTTGTTAATATGTGTGTGTGTGTTGAGTATGTGAGAGTATGAGTGGTCTCTGTGTGTGAATATGTGTGGAGTGTGTGTGTGTGTGTGTGTATGAGTGAGTGTGTGAGGCTGTGTATGTATGTGAGTGAGTATGAGTGGAGACTGTGAGTGTGTGTGTGAGTGTATGTTTGATGTGTGTGAGAGTGTGTATGTGAGGGTGTGTGTGTGTTTTTGTGTGGGCTTTTGGAGGCTAGAAGCTTCAAACACCCTTGAGCAGAAGTTACAGGGGACTGCTATCAGCCATCTGACTTAGGTTGGTTCCCTGCAGTAACAGTATGAGTTTTAAATCACCAAGGCTTCTCTCCAGCCCTTCATTGAAGGCTTTTTATTTAATCAATTTGTCATGGAAAAATAGTAACTGGTCTGAAATCAGACTGATTACATTTTATTTTGCTAAAGCTGTAGCAATAAAATCCTATGTGATATACAATGTAGTGCTAGATATAGAGTTTGAAATGCAAGTCTTGTGATTAGACTGTCCTTTGTGCTACAAACAACATGTTTTGTGTGAACTTTGCTGTTTGGAGACCAAGGGACAGGTCTAATCTCAAGATTTGCACTTTTGGCACTATTTTGAGTGAAAATCAAAGGCAGGGGGACTCTGCACCTTGTCCCACACTTATCACATCACCATCTTTCCTGCACCAACCATGAGTCACAGGTTGACAAGATATTACCCATTAAAGCAAAAAGATACCACCCGATAAACTTATCATGTTAGATTAGGACTATGTGATCACTTGGCCATATGTAACTGTAACAGAAAAATCAGGTCTGAGACATTATTTAATATGATAGATGGCAACACATTCACCTGGATCTTATAAAGATGACTCCACTTAATGTAACAATGGGGTTGAATCTATTGACCTATCTGATGTGTGTTGTCCCTTAAGAGAAATTAGAAATTTTCCAAATGGTCCTTGGACTTCAGCTTATCTCAGTCACTACTGTGCTGACTGAACCTTCTTTAGTTGTCACTGATCCACCCACTGAAACATGTCTCCACCCATTGGCCTGTAAGGACCCACTGCTGTCCCTTACCACACAGGACTCATTGTTTTCCCTCTGCAGCTCAGCTCAGTCCCAGCTCTGTGGCTTGGACTAACCCTGGTCTTTTCAGCAACTCCCTAACATCTTTCCTATCTGATGTCCAAGAAGACTACATGGCATGAGTTCCTTGCTTCAGCTTCTGCCTCTTTCTAGGAACCTGCATACTTTTTGAATTCTACTGCAGCATTTTTGCCATTTTTCTACCCAGTTTGTAACCTACGTTATTTGTACATATAGTTACAGGTACTGTATGATGGATAATATATGATCTGTGAATAAATATTACTAAGATTGGAATAAAAGAACTCATGGTACCCATCTAGATAACAAGGGAAATTGAGATGGCATGGCAATCCACACACAACAAAATTAACAGGTCTAGTAAACTGATTATTGTTCAGTGAGCTCGGACGTTGCAGAAACACACTAATGTCTTCATCATTGTAACAGTTACAATGGCAAAATTCATGATCTTATGTAATTTTGAATCTCTATTTCAGTGAGTTATCTTCCTTATGAACACTGATATGTCCTGAGTTGTGCTTTCCAAAAAACAAAACACAGTTGATGGAAATTATAAATAAAATGATCCCCTAACACCACAGAGTTTGCCAAGCCCCACTTTCACAGGGTGACAAATAATGTTCAGTCCTGTGTTCCCCATTGTCAGTGGTCCTGTAGATTTCTTTCTTTGTTTGGTGGGAGGAAATAAAATGAGCCTGCATGGTTTTCCCAGCATTTCAAACTTTCATAACTTTTATCTGGTATTTTTATGTTCTATGAAGAGGTTCCTGAACTATATGCATAGATGTAACCAAATACGTACATACTTAGTGGCTGGATACATCTACCTGGCAATCCAATAAAAAAAAAATATATATATATATATATATATTCTTCGTAACTCACCTTTTGCTAGATAAAAAGCAATCCATGTGTTAACTTCTTCCAAGTAATGAACCAGAGGAGGAATTAAAATAAGTAATTGCAGAATTCAGCAGGCTGTAAAGTTCTTGTAATTCTGAGAGTGGAAAGATAGTTTGGAAGCCACCAAAGACCTTATAACTTGTTACTGTGCTTTAACATGATATGATATTAGTCTTTATGTAGTGAGGAATTTTAAGCTCAAACAAAATGCAGAGGATAATCACACTATATCAATATCTTCCATGAGCGAAATTAAAAAAAAATTGAAGCTCAATACTAGGTACAGATACTTTAAAGCAGACTTTAGTCAAAAGTTTTATTTCACCTCCCTGTTTTCTGAAGAGGTGTCAAACAAAAATTTATTTGATTTCTTTAACTTTTTATTAAAGGGAAACTTTTAGTAATACAAAACTCATGACAGGCTTATCACTGAAGTTTTATAGACGGCCTCTCTAGAAAAGGTTATTCACCCACACTCGCTATATTACCAGGTGGAAAATAAAATGAGTTTATGGTGTGCTTTGGTAGACATAGGCTTGCTATATTTTGCTTTTATCTCTGTTTGTTTTAATATCTGTCCTCTATTCCTTGACCTATATACTTTATTGTGGGGGGGGCAAAAACTCAAATGTACTTATTTGGACTTTGTTGGCCTTGTTCTTCTTGAAGAATATTTCAAGGGGGGAATTCAAACTGTAAAAAAAGAAACTATGTTGATTTTGTGCAAGATGATTTTATACCTGGGAGCTGGTCCTTCTCGTCCATGGCTAGTTAAATCCTGTGCATATGGCTTCACTTTCTATTAAGCCCCTCTCATTTTTAGCAGAACTCTACCAGACAGAATTTATCATTAGCATTCTCTCTAGAGTGTTTACTTCATGTTTAGGTACATGGCTGAGGATAGGACAGCAGCCTGTTGGGTGTGGGACCTGTGAAGGTGATGAGCATGGGGCTTTGGTCTAGCCTGCTCTCAAATTCAGGTGGTAGGAAAGTGAGAGACACAGCATGCCCTTGCCTTCTGCCTTCCATCTGCGGGAACGCTTCTCTGTGAGTCAAGAAAACACCTCACTGCATTTTGTTTTCCTAATGCTTCTTGGCTTCTCACCAGCAGGTTTTTACAGTCTGGTGCTTGCCTCTCAGATTAGAAGAATGCTGGCATATTTTAACAGTTTCCTAGGATTCAAACAGCCTTTAATTAACGGAAAATTGATGTTTTGGAATCTTATCAAAATACGGGAGACAGAACATGCAAGCTATGCTTCCATACTTGCAGCTTCTAAATGCAGATAGTCTGAAAGCAGGGGCCAGAACTGTGTGCTCCTTGCAAGCAGCTGCCTGCCCACTGGTACGCAGGGTGGGATTTGTGTTGGAGTAATAGTCTCATTGCCTACTCATTGGTGCACGTCTGAATTCCTCCCACTCATGACTGGGGTGGAGACAGGCCGTACTTGAATTGTCAAAGCTCCAGGGTGCTGAACAGCTCAGGGTTGTTGGGCTTGTAATGGTAGGTTTGCTGGTGTTTTTAATCCTCTTCTTGCTGGGGCAGTGTGGTACGGCTGCCTGTTCAGTTTCTTTTCTGTTCCAGATTCATTTCTTTATTCTGCCGGAGTTTGAGCTGGTGAAAAGAGCAGTTCTGCAAAATAGCCCACTGAGACTTGTAGCATATTCTGAGCAGGTTAGTTTTCAAAGAGGGATGAGAGAGCAATGCGGGGTTATAGGGGGTTTCCCTTGACCTCTGAAAGCTTGGCTATAGACACATGACCGACTGAGCACCAGAGTTACAGGCAATTAAAATAAAGCAAGTTGTAGAGTGTGAAATATTAACTGATCCTTACATTATCATGTAGTTAGTATCCCGAGGAAAGGTGCTGCTCACCTACTTCTGGACGTTCTGTTCCAAAGCTATCTATCCACTGACCAAATCATAGCTGATAGGAGTAGATTCTGTGTCTTACTTTTTCCAGTGACCTAGAAAGCTCGTCTGTTTTTGTTTGTTTGTTTGTTTGTTTGTTTGTTGCACCAAAGGTCTTGATGTTTTCTTTTCTGTGCCTTGTGTCCCTGATCATCCCCTTTGCTCTTGTTTCTACAGGTGGTACATGCCAGAGTCCTGCTCTCCCAGCCCTGGTCCGGCCACCAGCCCCTCCTTTGCAGCCATCATTGGATATTAAGCCCTTTCTTCCCTTTCCTCTTGACACTGCAGCGGCAGTCAACCTGTTTCCCAATTTTAATGCGGTGAGTAGCAGATTCAAATTTGCACCTGTCCAGGATAAGAAGGCTTTAAGCCCAGGGGTGTTTCTGATACCATTTTCTGTTACAGAAGTCTTGAGGTATTGTTTATTCCACAGTGTTTCTGTGTGCCATGGTGAAGTTGGGTGCCCATCTAGGAAGAAAATGTTCAAGGAGTCAGTTCCCTGGGGCACATGGTGGAATGAGAATTCATTCGTTAATATGAGTTGATGTAATCTGAGACTCTTTTTTTGTAAAACAGACAACTTTGCTTTATTTTGGAACGCGCCAAACTGAAATTGAACAACTCTATTTTGGAGTATAAAAGTTAAAGTTCAATGTATCGTTTTTAACACTTGAGTCTTCTGAGTTGCTTCAAATGTATGATTCTTTTCTATTGCAATAAATAGGACTACAAAAGTAGCCAGAAATCAAGCCGATGCCTCAAAGTTGCTAGTTTTCCATGTCTCTCTAACTTCTGCTCAATGAAGTGGTTTTGTGTGTGTCTGTAGTGGGTTAACAAAAAAAAACTGGATGCTATAATATAGGGGCCACTCTTGTAGAGGGGTGAGCTGCGCCTCATACCTGACCTAGTACCTTCCCCTGTCATGAGAAGCTCCTTTGTATCTTTCTGTCATCGTCACTCTACTGCTACACACTGAGACCTCCACTCCTCTAAAAGCAGAGACCTCTTTCCCTCCAAACTCAGGGATCCCCCCACACCTCTGAAGTCTATTAAATCAAGGGATTTCCTTGGTTCTAGATAGTGCTGTTGGATTTCCTATCCCAACTGAGATGAGTGGCTAAATGTTACTAAATGTTATTTCATCCAAAGGACCAAAATAATAAATTCAGTCTGATAGATTAAAAAATGTGATACATTTAATTTATATGACTGTTTTCCTCCTTACTTTAAACCCGCTTAAGACTCTGGCACTAATGTCCACCCTACAACACCCTCCATTCCCAGTTACAGATGAGTCAGGTCAAATGTCTCCTAAATTATTCTGTTTCTTTAAATTTTATTGGAAGGTTTCTCAGCACAAATTCAATTATTTTCTTATCTCTATTTTCACTCTTTTAAGATGCTGTAAGATGGTATTCATCATATTTATCATAAATGTTTTGTGTGTGTTTGCAAGCCATGAGAACTTCCTTAGGACAGAAATTGAAGTGAACCCAGATTGGATTGGGGGGGTGGAGTGTGGGAGGAGGGGAGGGAGAGGGAACTGGGATTGACATGTAAAACAAGATATTTAAAATTAAAATTAAAAAAAGAATTAAAATAAAAAAGAAACAAGTAAGTTTTTGTTTTCTGAGAATCGCCTGCTTTGCATTTCAGCAGGTGATGCAATGGAGAGCAGGGCTTATCAGTGACAGGATGTGTCAACTGAGCCAAGAAGAGGATTAAGATGAGAGATCACCCGGTGACCTATGAGCTCAATAATACTCTTTTCTGATTGCAGCAACTTACCCAGAGCCTAACTTAACAAAAAGTATAATGATCTGCCCACAGTGAAGCCCTTCAAGAATGGAGAATCCAGAAGGACTTATTCCTTAATAGTGTTTCATTACAGGAACTTGGAATATGGTGCTATTTAAATGACAATGGTATGCTAGTCAATGCTAGTAGAAAAAGGCATATCCAATGATATCTTTGTATTCAGTTATTGAAGAGGAATTTTCCATAAAAACCTTACTTTGAGATGAGTGGGGTAAGCTAGACATGGTAACGTATGCTTGTCATCCCAGCCTTCTCAGAGGCTGAGACAGGAATATCTCAAGATCAGATCAGTCTGACCTCATATTAAGAGAGATACTTTGTCTCAAAAGGAAAAACAGAGGGGTTGGGAAAAGAAAGAGAGGGAGGAAGAAGAAAGGAAGGAGGGAAGAAAAAAAGAAAAATAGATTCCACTAGAAGGCAGGTAATATAGAGGTGAGACTAAGAGACAGAGTTTAGGGGAGTGTTTGGCCCTAGGTGTATTAACTTCATCACTCCTCCTCCCCAAGACTCTGGGAGCATTATGAAAGAGGGGACATAACAAAGAGATGGAATAGGTGTGTTACAAAATGATGCTTCTTGATATAACATGCTGTCTCATTAATGAAGTCACTGCAGTGATGCATTCAAGAACACTCTGCACTTATGGATAGCTGCATAAGACCTTCGCATGACTGGGGCCTTAATATGTCATCATGGACAAGGTCCCATCTCTCCCTGAGGAACCTTTGGTTGCTGGGAATGGGGTGTCATGTCATGTTCTTCTGTTGCAGAGTAGAGACCCATAGATTACAGGGCATGACCAAATTCTGAATTGAGAGTCTTCTTTAGAATGCTTGGCAAGAAATACTTCTTATAGAGCAATCTTTCCTTGAATGCATTTTACAGGTAGTTTTTCAAGGCAAAGAATAGAATAAAGCTATATTCTAGTTGGCAGTTGCAAAGGTAAGTAAGGCAATCAAGGAAGCAAACAGATTAATAGAAGCCAAAACATACACTTGTCTGGGTCATTGGGAATCTGAGTTTCCAGAACAGGGCTGGATACTTACCTATAGGGCTTCATAGCAGTGCTAGAAAAGAAGGGTTAAACCAAAGATGACACCAGCTGAGACAAGATGGAGAAATCTTTTCCCTGTCATGCTTCAGTGGTGTAGCCACTGAAAATTTGTTCCTGCTCCAGCAAGAAACTTCCTTTCTATGCTCATGTGGACAATTAAAGACACACACTAGAAAGATGTAAAAGTAGAGGGGAACTTGTTGGAAAGAAAGTTCAGCAGAAGGAAATGGGTAGGAGAAGGAAATAGGAGAAGATGAATAAGAATATACATGTATGATACTATCTGCAATTTAAAAAGGAAGGAAGCAATAGAGAGAGGAAGCAAGAGAGGAGGGAGAAATGGATTCAGGTAGAATTACAGCAGCATAAAAATAACATTTCTAGGACTATGGTTTCTTACCTTGCCTTTTAAGACAACCATAGGGAAACTCGCTGAACACTGAAATTCTTTCCTCTTAAATGGAGTCACTACAGACCCCCAGCTCCTTTCCCTGATCTCTTTGTCTGTCTTTAGGCTAAGTAGCTTTCTGGCAACAGCTTGCTCCCACCAGCACCTGGACTATAATTCATCAAGGTGCTTAATCTGACTTGAGAGATCACTTGACAACATGGCGTGCCTGACCCAAGTCAGCTCTGTAATTGTTTAGGCATTAGTTTTGGAAGATTATTCAAGCTTAATTTAAAACTTTCAATATGCCTCTTGGGAAACATTAAAAACAAAGTGGTTACCTTGATTGACAGTGAGACTTGTTTGTCAGTAGGAAAAAAATATCTGCTCTGCTCTTCGACTGAGCAAATCTTCACCTTCTTTGCTGCTGTTTCTTCATCTTAAGGAGAAGTGGACATCTGGGTGGTGGTGGTGCACACCCTTAATACTAGAACTCCAGAGGAAGAGGCAGGTACATCTCAGTGAGTTTGAGGGCAGCCTGGTCTACAGAATTCTGGACAGTCAGGAATACATAAAGAAACCCTATCTTGAATCTCTCACAAAAAAAGAATAAAGTAGACATGTGAAACTTCTTCCTTTGGTAGTTATGCCATTCAAAAATTGAATTTGTTCCTCCTTGTGAACGAAGATAATCTGTGTAACTGAGGCTGGACTCTACAGCAAGACTAAATTCAAATACTAGGGATGTTTCATATCACATGGGAAATTCACACATTTCCTGTATATCCCAGTATCTTCATCCACAAAATAAATATTTATATGTGTGCTGAATATGTGAGTCAAACTGTTTAAAACAGGGCTTCATCATATGGGCAGGCTACTGAATGATTCAGTCATGCTGTCCTAAGGGGTTTCAAAACTCTTCTGAATTTGAACATGGCAGTTCACTGACTAAGTGGTTGTGACAGTCTGACATGAACATTTTCCTGTTTCTTGTAGCCTGAAGTGTATTGCTGTTTGTTCACTAGGACCTTGGGGCCCTCTGCTCCTGTGCTTGTTGTCTATTCTGTGGTTGCTCTAGCATTGGTAAAGCTACAGATAGTTAAAGCTTAAGCCTTTCCTGCTTTAAAACAAGAACATTAGGAAAGTCCACATATATGGACTTTAGATTCAAAATCAGGACATTGAATATCTCTGTAAGCTTCATTGTGGGTTCTTGATTTTATAACAGTTGGAAACTCAATCCAGGGTATTTTAAGTTTAGTTTTCCTCCTGTTTCCAATTGTGTGTTCAGAAGATCTCATTCCATCAGGTTGAAGATAAGTCCAATTGAATTTCTTTTTCTAGATTTATTTATTTATTTTTATGCATATGAGTGTTTGCTTGCATGTGTGTGTGTGTGTGTGTGTGTGTGTGTGTGTGTGTGTCATATGCATGCCTGGCACCCAAGAAAATCATAAGAAAGTGTTATACCTCATTGAACTAGAGTTAAAGAGGCTTGTGAGGCACCATGAGGATTCTGTACATCAAACCCAGGGACCCTGAAGTGTAACAACTGCTCTTAACTATGAAACCATCTCTCCAGCCCTTCCAATCTAACTACATAATAGGGTGTGCTAAGGTTTGAGAGCCTAGCAGTTCTAGCCAACCTATGGTGGGGGAGGGGCATTACTGGTTGAGTTATTTGTGTGCATAAGCACTTGTGAGTTGCTTTTTGTTGGATTAGTCATTTAGGTGACAAGCTTTTTATGTATTGTACTTAGCACCTGCAAGTCTCATAACACTGTCAGTGGTCGTAGCATTGCAGACCCACAATGTAACAATTGTTTCTTTGAAGGAAAGTACTCCTTAGCCATTCTGCCACCAACTTCCACTTGTTTACCATTGTAAACAATTTTCGTGATGATTAGTAATTATCAATTTTATTTTTCTTTGACACCATGAATAGAGCATCTTCTGCTTATTTGAGGTAAGGTATGCCATTAAGTTGAAGACAATTTTACAAACAATTCTTTAAAAGCAAAATACATAAAAAATGTAGCTAGCCATCTCTGATTGTT